GAACCTTCATAGAATCACTTTCTGAGTCGATTTATGCATGTCAGTCCGTCTGTCCGTCCGTCCGTCCATGTATTCTTGTGAACAAAATGCAGGTCGCATTTATTATCCGATTGAGATGAAATTTTCCAAACAATATTTTTTTGGCCCAAGAACGAACCCTATTGAATTTGGTGAGAATCGGATCAAATTTAGATATAGCTCCCATATATATCTTCATCCGATTTCGGGTTAAATGTGCACCAAATGTCCACTATCAGTCCAAATTACCTGAATTTTGGCACACCCAACCGAGTTCGGCCTAGAAGCAAGTATATCAAATTTGGAGAAAATCGGTTCAGATATAGCTATAGCTCCCATGTATATCTTTCATCCGATTTGATCTTGAAGTCCCTCACATTCCTACTATGCACTCCACAACCGTTATATTTGGTACCAGGTATTAGATGGAGCACAGAAATAGCTGTTTTAAATTTTATCGAAATCGGTTCAGATTTGGATATAGCTCCCATATATATCTTCATCCGATTTCGGGTTAATTGACCACCAAATGGCCAATATCAGCCCAAATGGCCCGAATTTTGGCATATGTGACCGAGATTAGCCTTAAAGCAAATACAACAAATTTGGAGAAAATCGGTTCAGAGACAGCTATAGCTCCCATATATATGTTTTATCCGATTTGGTGTTTAAGCCTCTCACATTCGTAATATGCACTCCACAAGAATGATATTTGGTACCAGATATAAGATACAGCCCAGAAATAGCTGTTTGTAATTTTATCGAAATCGGTTCAGATTTGGATATAGCTCCCATATATATCTTCATCCGATTTCGGGTTAATTGTGCACCAAATGGCCGATATAAGTCCAAATGGACTGAATTTTAGTACATCGGACCAAATTCAGCCTAGAAGCAAGTATATCAAATTTAGTGAAAATCGGTTCAGATATAGATATAGCAACCATATATATGTTTCATCCGATTTAGTGTTTTAGTCCCATACATTCGTAATATTCACTCCACAACCGTGATATTTGGTACCAGGTATTAGGTGGAGCACAGAAACAGCTGTTTTAAATTTTATCGAAATCGGTTCAGATTTGGCTATAGCTCCCATATATATCTTCATCCGATTTCGGGTTAATTGACCACCAAATGGCCAATATCAGCCCAAATGGCCCGAATTTTGGCACATGTGACCGAGATTAGCCTTAAAGCAAATACAACAAATTTGGAGAAAATCGGTTCAGAAACAGCTATAGCTCCCATATATATGTTTTATCCGATTTGGTGTTTAAGCTTCTCACATTCGTAATATGCACTCCACAAGAATGATATTTGGTACCAGATATAAGATACAGCCCAGAAATAGCTGTTTGTAATTTTATCGAAATCGGTTCAGATTTGGATATAGCTCCCATATATATCTTCATCCGATTTCGGGTTAAATGTGCACTAAATGGTCAATATCAGCCCAAATCACCTGAATTTTCGTACATAAGACCGAATTCAGTCTAGAAGCTAATAGGTAAAATTTGGAGAAACCCGGTTCAGAGATAGCTATAGAATTAGATAGATTTTGATTTTGTACCAAATATCTCATAGAGCTCTGAAATGCCCTGTATAAACCTTTTTACGAGAGCTCTACTAAATATGCATAGTGGTGTAGGGTATCATATAGTCGGCCCCGCCCGACTTTTGAGCTTTCCTTACTGGTTTTTATCTCATCCTGTATCTTTAAAATGACAAGATATATAAATTGACTTTTAGAAAAACCAGGCTACCCTGAGCTCTCTATTGAGTTCTTTGCATATGCCATGAATTTTATGGTTTTTATAATGAAAAAGATCCATCATCCATAGATATTTGCATTCTGAGCCAAGGTGAGTCTTGTTGGTAAAATAAATATTCATCCTAGACCAACATAGCGACACTAATTTCCCGTTTTATAAAGTTTGTATGTGAGCATGAATTCATATATATTTTCCTGCTATTCACCATACGAATAATTTCGCCAACATTTCTTGTGAAATCAAATTTCGTTTATAATTTTTGTGAGTTGCTATGTCAAGCAGAACGATGCTGCAATTGGCGTTTGTGCTGGTTATTTTTTCATCACTTTTTCTTTGGAACTTGAAAAAATCTACAGAAATTGCATCTTTTCTCTGTTCCTCTTTATGCTGGCAAAAAAAATATTCCAATTAAGAGCGTTGTTACATTAGTTCATTTATGGACTTATTTTCCAACGTTTTGTTATTTGAATTCTGAGCTGACCCATTTGAGGTTTTCACATTACGGTTAATTGCCTGGTCGAGTTGACCTGGTTGTGGGTCGGTCGGTCAGCACGTTTGGTTGTTTTGTCTGTTAAACAATTTGTTTTTTGCGTTCCCCATATTTTATATAGAGTGTAGTGAAAATTGTTTTTTGTAACCAGGACGTCTTTTTATAAACTAATGGAGCGGAATAATGTGATCTCTGGGGATCCTCGGATTCCCCGCGGACAAAAAAAAAAAAAACGAAATTAAAATTAAAGAGGCAAAAAATAATAAAGTAACGGTGCAGGGCCTGAATAACCCATACCGACGGTAGTTTGTGATCCAGCCACGAGTCACACTTCGACGTTATTTGACGATCGTGAGCGAAATTCTCGCGTAGATATGTGTGCCTTGGCATCTGGGCGAAAAAGGAAAGAGCTTCACACCTTCAGATGCTCTGGGGCAACATTCCCAACATTGAAAAGGTGAACCAAAAACATTATAGGGGCGAAATGCACTACACATTGATCTAGCGTAGATATGTGTGCCTTAGCATCTGTGGTCGAAGGTATTGCTACAAGTACACAGCCCTTGGTCAACAATATAGGCAAGGAGTCTGGGAAACTCCAGGGAAGCCTACGCTCGACAGCGCCTTCAATGACTGGTAGCGCCTCAGACTCAGAAGAATAGAAGAAAATGTCTAAGAATATTCCCTGGAGACGGGGAAGAGGATCAGGTCTATTGAGGGGCAGAGCATTACAAAGTCGGCAAAAAATGAAAGAGCTTCACACCATCAGATGCTCTGGGATAAACCCAGTCAAGGACCTCGAAATGGAGATTGTCAAAGGCATCTTTCGACCGAGGGGGACGAACATATTCCCAACATTGGAAATGTGAACCTGGCCATGAAATAGACTGTTAAGCCTGGGGATTCTGAGAAGAAATACCGGAACCGGCAGAAGAGGAAGCGGACCGAGGAAATGGGTAAAAAAAAAAAACCATATAATGCCAAAAATATTATAGGGACGAAGTGCACTACGCATTGATCGGTACCAATAAAGGTTCCAGCAATTTACCCAAAGAAAACCTAGAAACCGTAGAGGAAATGGTCAACAATAAAATTTTTGACTACATATTGGAAGGCGGTATGTTCTGCAAAATGTTCTTTAAACTTGCCGCACATGCAAAAATTGCCGCCCTAAATTGAATTATCGGTAAGATAAAATCTCTTTGAAGGAACTTGGCTTCAACTTAGAAACGGAGCGTATGCTCGAATCTTTGCCACACAAAATAAGACTTTGGGCGTGAAGAGATGGGACATCTTTCACAGAGAGGAGGAAGGAGACGGCATTAAAATGTAAGTAAAACAATTTAAAAAGCAGCAGTCGGCTTTGCCGATAGTATTTACCCTCAGCCCTCTATGGAGTAGTTTCCGAATGATTGGGCCAATATTGTCCATTTCGTATTGAGATGTACTAGACATGGTATGGCATCGGATGTTAAATTTGCGTTTTTTTGGGCTTCATGGATATTAAATATTTTGATCCATTGTGGGTGAGGTATCAGAAGGAGTGGGCCGATATTTCCCATCTTCACAGCAGATCTTGTGTTAGTAGAAATAATGGGATGTGTGAAATATTAAGGAAACCGGATGCTTATTTCTGATTTTATAATCGTTATGGTTATTTAAAATGTTGACCTTTTGTGGGGGAGGTACTTTATGGAATGGACAGATATTGTACATTTTCGCACTTGATGCAAATCGTAGGATTTGCAAAGTTGCAGGACAATGGGATGACCCTTTTTCTCTCTCTCTCTGCAGTAAATATTTTCTTTGAAAATTTCGATCTTTCATGGGGGAGATACGAGAAAGAGTGGACCGATACTACGCATCTGAGAACTCGATTAAAGTTTGATAATAATATTGCGATGTATCAATTGTGGGCCAAATCGGATACTCCCTTCGAAAGTTATCGTGCGCACCAGCCAGACAGACGGACGGACAACACTAGATCGACTCCAAATGTCCTAAAACGGATTTTGTCCAATGAGACCAGGGGTCTAAAACCATTATTTTGGTGAGGCACATTTTATGGTGTACAGGGTTGCCCATATTCGACGGACCCATGTTTTGTTATGCGACTTGTGTGCGGTGGAGCGCCGTCTTGTTGAAACCAGAACTGCCTCATACGCCTTCGACGTATAATTGGCATCACAAAATTGGTCATCATGTCGCGATAACGCTCCTGATTGATAGTAACAGCATGGTCATTTTCACTGACGCTTCAAACGCGGTATGTCATTAAGCGATGTGACATCTCTGTCAAAAGTTATGGCGCTGCCAGATGGGTCCGTCGAATATGGGCAACCCTGTATCAAATGATATATACCCTCTCTAGCCATATGGCTGAGGGTATAAGTCAGGTAGTTGTTACTTTGAGAGCTATAGAAAATATAAACACACAAAATATTCCAAGTACAGGAAAATGGGATTCCAAGTGGTTCTATTAACAGCAGCTGAAAATTGTGTTGTAGCCAATGACAATGAAAAGCTCTGGCTTCAAGGTTTAATACTTCTTAGTTTTCAAGGCTTAATACTTCTTAGGTTTAATACTTCTTAGTTAGTTTTGGTTCAAAATTTTACTTATTTCCCTAACAATAATTTCCATAACCAACTACCAAACCCTCTTTTAAAATGCTTATTAAAATTTAAAATCATTTACGAAATTCTGCTTTCGGACTTACCATCACACCACAATGTGGCAGATATACATGCATCAATTTCAGGACATTTATATTCACAGTCTGACTCTTTTGGATAGAATCCAAAATCACTTAGCGTATCATTGCCACTGGTGCCTGTTGTGGTAATCACACCACCACCAGTGCCGGTGCCTCCTGACGAACCACCAGCACCACCACTGCCGCCCACAGTACTGGTGGTTGTTGTATTGCTTTGCAAATCAAATTGTTGTAATAATGCATTTTTCGTACGATAAATCTCCAGCCAAGTGAAGGCAATATCTCCGGGTTCCTTTAATATGGGCTCCAATACCAAACTGACCGGCCTGCAAAAGAATACAAGAAATGAATAATTATTCAGGCACATGGATTGCAATGGGCAATAACAAAAAAATTGGGCAAAGTCTAATGGAAACTCAAAAAAAAAAGGAAATATAATCAATTTTCCAAAAATATTTCATTTGAATCATATTTAATAATAACACAAGGCATCACAATCAATTTGTTTGGGAGGGTCCGTATTCACAACTACTTTGGAAATATTGTAATAACATTTCCAATTTATATTGGTTGTGGGTAGGTTGCCTCATACAACCCCCCATTGCAACATGTACCAGTGCTTTGTATGAAGAATTTGCACTTTGATTCTTGCTGTTGCTGAATTGAATTTTCATTGGAAAATATTATTTTTGTGTACCGAGAAATCTTTTTTAATAAGAATATTCCAAGCTTTTTTCTTTTTAATTTAATTTTTTTTGCAGCAAATGAAAATTCATTCCTTTGAAAATTTGAATTGGATAAAATTGTGATTTTATGTTATGTTATGGTTGGGGATGTTATTCGATGCTTGATTACATCAAAGATTTATTTAAATTTAATTTTTTTGTTTTATAATTTTTCAAAGAGTCGATGGATGGAATACCCCTTAAGGTCATTTTTTGAATTATATTGGAGTCATGTGTAAAATGATGTTTTCTCATTTTGTATTTAGAATTTTAATGCATACTTTTAGGGGTTTTTAATTTTCAAACTTAAGATAAATTCTATACAATATAAACCAGTGAGGAAAGGTTCAAAGTCGGGCGGGCCGACTGTGTGATACCCTACACCCCTATGCATATTTAGTACAGCTCCCGAAACAAAAAAAAATCTTTATTTTGGGAATTTATGTGAGGTAGATCACTTCGATAAGCATTATATTAAAAAAAGGTTGAATAAAAAAAAATTTATCCATTTTGGTCTGATATTACACATATGGTAAATCGAAACTACATAAAAACCTGAACAGATCTCTAAATAGAGGTATTTTTGAGCTGAATCTGATATCCGGAATGAAATATAACTGTTGTGGAGTGCATATTTCGCATGTGAGGGACTTAAAACCCAAATCGGATGAAACATATACAGGGAGAGATGAAAAAACTGCAACCAATTTCAGACTGCTGTCATTTCTAAGCCACTCGTCCGACAGCTTTTAAAATTATATATTGTTTACAAGCATACAGAAGCATTATCGTGATAATTTTCCAGAAAAAAGTTAATCGTGATGGAATTCAAGCGTGGTAGTGTTATTTCTTTATATTTGGCTGGAAAACCACAAGTGGCTATCGTTAAAGCACTCCAGTATTTAAATGTGAATAAATCTTTGTGTCTCGTACCATCGCTCGTTGCCGTGATACTGGTAGTGGACGGGAGAAAACAGCATCAACATCAGCAGAAATGGTTTGAAAAGTAAAGAAGCGACTTGATCGAAACCCGCGTCGCAGTGGCAAAAAAATGGCTCGTGAGCTGAACATATCGCAATATTTCATTCGGCAAATATATAAGCTCGGCGTATAGCCATTGACATTCCAAAAAGTGCAGGAATTTACACCGCAACAGAAAGAAAATAGACTCAAAATAGCTAAAGAGTTGCTACGCTTGACCGAAAGTGGTGAACTACTGAATTTGGTTTTCTCCGAGAGACAACATTCGTTGTCCAACAGTTTGTAAACAAACAAAATGATCGTGTTTACTTGCCAAAGAGGTCAGCTGAAAATGTGCACCCTCGGTTGGCCATCAGAACTCAAGCGCCGAGCATGGTGATGGTGTATGCTCCATAACAGCCTATGGTCACTCTCCGCTCGTATTAATCAACCGTGGCATCAGAATAAATGCCGAATATTGTCGCGAAAATATTCTGGAGGGTGTATTAAAGCCTTGGGCACCTTGGACATTCTCAGCAGCATCGCACTCAGCCGTGCTACCCAAGAATGGTTACAAAATGAGGTTCCTCGTTTCATTTCCAGCGCACAATGGACACCAAAATATCCGGATACCAATCCGTTGGATTATTGTGTCTGGAGTATTTTGGAAAGCAAAGTTGGCACTAAAAAAAATCAAAATGTCGATCACCTCAAGCAAGCGCTTCACCGGAAATGGGTCGAAATACCGCATTCTGGCTGCGTGTGACGGTTTAATTGTCCGTTGAAAGGTGACAAATTCAAACAAATCTAAACTTATTCTAAAGTTTAATGCCATTTCCGAAATTTTTTGCTTTCATTCAATAAAATTTAAAAAAAAGTAAAAATTATGGCGTTTGAGTTTTTTTTTTGCAGTTTCTTTATCTCACCCTGTATATAAATGTTAGCTATATCCTACACTGATCCGATCTCGATAAAATTTGACACAAGCTCCATAAGTTGATGTGGTGTTGTGGAGTGCATATTACACATGTTAGTGATATAAAACCCCAAATCGAATGGAACATATATTTGGACCGATTTGAAATTTGATGTACTTGCTTGTAGATGTGCTAAAATTCAGGTCATTCGGACTGATATTGGCCATTTGGTACACAATTATCCCGTAATCGGTTGAAGATATATATGGGAGCTATATCTAAATTTTTAACCGATTCTCACCAATTTCAAGAGGGTTCGTCCTTGGGCCAAATAAATATTGTTTGAAAAATTTCATCTCAAACGGATAATAAATACGACCTGAATTTTGTTCACAAAAACACATGGACAGACTGACGGACTAAATTGACTCAGAAAGTGATTCTATGAAGATCCTCAAAAGTAACTGTGGCTCTAACTCGCTTCCTTCTCCATGTTACTAACAAATGAACAAAGACATACTACCCTTACCACTTTGTGGTGTAGGGTATAAAAAGCAGTAATTTCGGCCTTTCCAATCTTTAAATTCCTTTCACCATTTGGAAAGAGTTTGGAAATTTAAAAAAAAAGTAATAATAATTAGGATAAATAAATAAAATAAAAATAAAAAATAAATCTAAATAAATAATTAAATGAATAAAATTAAAAAATCTGTTAAACATTATTTTAAAATCTTAGAAATACCGAGCATAAGAAGTTATCTTTATATTGGGGTATATACGAATACGTCGACCTGCATAGGAAAATTTGTCAAAGGCCATTACAATATTCAAATACGATACTTGAAACAATTCCGATGTCGCTAAAATCATTAAAACACAGAATATATGGGGAGATACTGATATATAGCAGCTATACGAAGACCTGAACCTGTGTAAGCTATTTTCTGTCACAGGCTGTAGTACCAATTACGAATTTGAAACAGTTCCGGTGAACGATGTCGCTAAAATCATCAAAATACCGAATATGGGGAGGGGTTATACGAAGACTTGGACCTACATATACAATTTTCTGTCACAGGATGTAGTACCAATTACGAACTTCAAATACGAAATTTGAAACAATTGCGGTGAATAATGTCGCTGAACTCATCAAAATACCGAATATAAGGAAGTACCGATATATGGGAGCTATACGAAGAACTGGACCTGCAGTTACAATTTTTTATAAGAAATTTCAAATACGAAGTTTGAAAGAATTCATCAAATCATCAAAATGGGAGGTACCGTTGTATATGGGCTATAATAAGACCTCAACCTGCGTAGACAAAATGCAAAGTGACATTAAATATGTTATACGAGTATTTAGCATTTTTATAGCATACTTTTAATCACTATTTTGTAGACATAAAATACATCTAAAAGAATTACATTACATACTAATAATATATCCCAATTTATATCATACTCAATATGTTTAAGTGTTTAAAAATATCTGAAGCGCCTTAAAGTAGGCTATAAAAATCATACGTAATAATGATAATATTTCTTTATTTACAAAATTGTTTTTCACAGACACATAAATTGCTCATTTTAACGATGTTTTGTAAACAAGAAACAGATCCAATAATAGACAATGTATTTGTTTTTTAACCGTCTGTTGTGTCTATTTCTTGGTTTTAAAACCTTATTAAAGACTAAGCAATTTATGAGTCTGCGGACAATAATTTTGAAAATAAAGAAATATTTTTATTATATAAAAATGTTATGTGTAAACAAGCCAATAATTATAACCTCCACCATACAATGGAGGATATATTAAATTGGTCATTCTGCTTGCAACACTTCGAAATATTCGACGAAGACATAAAAAAGAGTACATATTCCTGATCAGAACAAAATTATAAGGCGATTAAGCTATGTCCGTCTGTCTGTTTGAAATTTGGCTCAATGGCATGCATGCAGGGCATAGGAGGGTATATTTAAATATAAATATTCGTCGTAGACCCATGAAGTGTATATACTCATGATCAGCATATAATTCTAAGTCGATTTAACGACGTCCGTCTGCTGTAATCACGCTATCTATCGAACGAATTGAGATAGAAGGCTAATTTTTTTTTGTTTATTTTTCCAGTAGACGGGTTAAGTTCGTAACTGGGCCATGTAGGTCCACGTTTTCATATATCTGCCATATAACGGTACCTCCCGAATTTCGGTGTTTCGATGATTTAGCGACATTATTCAGCGGAATTGTTTCAAATTTGTTATGTGAAGTTCGTAATGGATGATACAGTCTGTGACAAAAAATTGTCAGTTTAGGTCTACGTCTTCGTATAGCCCTCATATAACGGTACCTCCCTATACCCGGTATTTTGGTAATTTTAGCGACATTATTCACCGGAATTGTTTCAAATTTGCTATTTGAAGTTCGTCATGTATACTATAGTCTATGACGGAAAATTGTCTGTGCAGGGCCTCAATTCTTGTTCTATGAAAATGTGAAATGAAAACTTTTATAAAGGAAAGAAATGTCACATGAAAAATTTTATAAAGAAAATATTTTTCATTTCATATTTTCATAGAACAAGAATCCAGCCCCAGGTCTACCTTTTGGTATGGCCCCTTATAATGGTACCTCCCTATATCCGGTATTTCGATGATTTTAGCTACATTTTCCACCATTTTTTTTCAAGTTTCGCATTTGAATATTATGATCAAAGTTGC